CAGTTAATGATTACATTTATACAAAATTCCAAGCAAAACAAACTAATGTGTGATGATAGAAAACAAATCAGTGGTTGCATTGGGATGCCATAGCAGTGGGTGGTGGTGGGAGGAAGGGGTTAGAAAGAGAGAGGAAAAAACTTCTGAGGGTGATGGATATGTTCATTATTTTTATTGTGGCCGTGGTTCTATGAGTACATATGTACGTCAAAATTTAACAAATTATACACTTTAAATATATTTTATATATTTATAGTTTATATTAAGTTAAAGGGAAACAGACTTCTCAAATTCTTCATCTTCTAAGTCTCCTTCCAAATCTCTAGTTTGTAGTCTACACATCCATGATTCAGATACCCAGGGGGCACTTGATTACTTTACTGGGCAAAGAAATAAAGGTTGTAAACACTTCATCCTAATAAGTCCATAAATCAATCTAAGATGTATTGGATAAGAGGGAGAAATTAGGGAAGACAGAACCCAGTAGCTGATATGAACATATTCACTGAGAGACCTAATCCCTCCAGAAAGACTTATCAGCTCATCTCAAGCCCTTGCTCACATCTCTGCTGGCTGCTCTTTCCCAATAAACCAAGACAATGTTTAACTGCCTGGTCCCATGGTCAGCCCCGCTCCCCTCCTCCTCTGCCTCATTCAGCATCAGGGCAGCCTGCCACAAGGAACAGAGTCCACACCTGCTAGGAAGAGCTATTGGCTCTAGAAGTATAGAAGGGACCAGGGGCGGGATGGAGCCTAAGAGGGATCCACTGCAGATCAGGGAGCCCTGAAGCGCATTTTTTGTCTTTCATTCCCTCAGGTTTCACCATCAAAAGATGTAGTTAGTCCTGGAGATGGCAAATGGAGTTCACTTTACCTGTACTCTCTTATCACCAAGCTAATCTCGTCAAAATTCTAAAATGTGCTGGCTTTTCCCCCCATGACATAGGACAGACCACATTCCCATCCTAGGAAGGAATTGTTCAGCTGGCTACCCTTCTCAAAAGGAGTATCACTGCAATGTCCTAGGTACTTTTTAAAGATAAAACTGATATCCTACATGAGCAACAAAACAGCGAGCCTACTTGAATGTTTATGTGCTAGAATCAACATTAGCCTGACCAATAGTGGTCACTGAATAATCCACTAAAAATGGTAACAATTGTCAAGTACTGCTAAAATATCAACTATTGCTTCTCTAAGAAGAAAAGTCTCCCTTCTCTTTATTCTTTGGTATCTATAAACAGCATCAAGGCTAATGGTTTTCACTTTGTCCTCTTTACATTGCTGCCCCTATTCATCTTCTCCTCTATTTCTTTATAGTCTAGAGCTAAGATTCATTTTATTACTGCCCTTCCCCTCTAAGATGTCTATTTCTGAGAAGTCTAGTTGTCACTCATTCTGCTACGGCCTCACATGGCCAGGTCATGGCCCCAGGTATTCTGCTGAAGAGGTCCCAGCTAAAGGCCAAAGGCTGACAATGGCCAGCAAGGCCCTACCTGGTATGCACCCCACACCCCACTTACTTCCCAATGGCACCTCCTATTCACTCCTCCTGCTCCAGGCTCCCTGGCCTCTTTGGGGCTTCTCAAACAAGACCTTCAACCTCTTCTTTAAGACCATTAAACCTTTATTTTCCTTTGTCTGAAAACTTTCACCCCCTGCATCCTAAGGCCAACTCTCTCACTCCTGGCCAGGCTTTGCCCAGACACTCTCAATGAAGCTTCCCCGCCCACAACCAAGCTTTTTAAAATTTCCACCACCCACACCCACACTTCTGATCCCTTTTATCTCACTCTTTTTGTTCTTTTCCCATAGCACTCTTTGACTTCTGATAGAATGTCTATTTTACTTATTTACTTTGCTTATTGTTTATTTCCTGTCTCCCTCCTCTATTATGTAAGCTCCAAGGGCTGGGCCTGGGTCTGTTGTTTATAGATGTATCCCCTAGAACAATTCCTGCCTCAGGGAATATTTGTTGTTTAATGACTGTGAAAGTCAGGGCTTGGTTAGTTTTGTGCTGATCCAAGTACAGACTGAAGACCTCAGAAAGCCTTTAGGGCCAGGCAGGCGTGTGGGGATAAATGGGCCACAGGTCCTGGACTCTGGGGGAGTGTTTACCTAGGAGATGAATGAGGCGGGCATCCTCCAGCCGTGTCCCTGAAAATCCCACTGTTTGCTTTTTGTCTGAGATGGGCTTCATTATAGTACTCTCTCAGTCTCCCCGTTTTTCAGCTATACTTTTCAACTGTTCACCCATTCTTTTCTCTCTCTTGCCTCAGCTTCTTCCCTGCTCTGGAACTCATTTCAAATTAGATCTATCAAATGTTAAAGCTGAAAGAAACCAAAGAAGACATCACTTGTATGTTTAGTGTGGAACTAAAACTTGCTTTGGGGGACTTTTTCATCCCTGACCTTCTCACTGAACAAATACTATTACTAATAAAGTTCCTCCGAGTACAAAAGTGATCGTGTGAATCTGTTAGTTCAAGATCTCAGAAGCAAGCTGATAGGATACGTTAGCTGGGCTTGCTACATCCATGGAATATCCCAGCATCTTTCTCCAGGACTTGCTCAGAACATCCCTGTCATCCCCTGAACCCAAGCCACAATCTAGGAACCATGAATTTCAATAAAATCACTAAACCAGGAGTAAAGGGGTCAAACCAATCTGATGGTGTCCATTCTCTGAACACTCCTTCCCCAAATCAGCAGCAAAAGACTCTTTAGGGAAGAGGCCTTGGTCTCTTCTTTGACAAAAAGATGACATGTTGAAGTGCTTGGGTCCATCCTCTGTGGAAGATTGTTTTCCTTGGGAGATGAGGGGAGTTAATTGGTAACTAAAAGGAACATAAAAAATCAGAAAAATAGGCAGGTGTAATTTTCCTTTAATGACCATACATATTTTGATCAATCTTTGGCAAAGGAAACTTTTCATTAATTCACCCAATGGCCCTGGATGACTCATGCCCTTCTGAGCAAACTTGGGCATTAGCCTGTAGCTCCAAAGTCCTCATAACACTCCTCTCCAGTTGCTGTCATCCACCAGCAAATAGAGAGGAGGCGTGCTAAGACCTCATGCTGGATCAGGGGATAAAATTGTGAGAGGTTGCCTAAGGGTTAAATAAAGAACTTGACTAATCTGAGGACCCCTAAAAATGTCTCAACTATCTGTTGGGATCAGTGTGTGGAAGACAGGCTCTATTCATGGAAGGAAGAAGCCTCAGCAGCCACCCTACTGCCTGCCTCCACCTCCCCACACAGGCACCCACATGAGAAACCAAGGGCCCTAGGTAATCTTTTCTTCCTGTGCCTGAATTTCAATATAAGACAGAGCCAATGTATTCTCAGGTCTACACAAACTTTCCATGAAACCCTTTTGCAGAACTTGGACCCAAAAGTTTCCAGACAAATGAAGCTGCTCCTGTCACTGCTCCCTTTTACTGCCCCTTCTTCAGCTTAGTGGTTTTGCTTTAAACCTGTACATCACTATTTCCCATCTCTTCATGCCATTTCTACTAATTCCCAGGGCCAATCCTTACCCAATTCCAGAGAGGCTTGGGGAAAGCTGCTCACCTCCTAATCTTTCTGCCACGTGAGGCGCTAAGCTGGTTATTAAGTTCCAGATACCGAGTCCCAGTGCCCAGCTTGGTCACCAACTTCTGCGTGTGCCCTGGGCCAACCTCATCCTTCCACTAAATTCTCTAAAGGGAAGGTGCTCTGGCCCAAATTCCTCAACAAACATGGGGAGTGTCCAGGGCTACAGAAGAAGTTGGAAGACCTCCCTCCTTCCCTCACAATGCCGACTGAACAAAGTCCTGTGATTTCAGGCCACTGGCCAGAAATTCCTGTGGAGAAAGGACATTTTAGCTCATTCCCACCACTCTGGAAAAATACAAGTTAACTTTCAATCCCAGGGTCAATCCCGAATTGCCACAAACCTGGGAATAAGACTAGGGATCCAGAACATATCTCCTGTGTTCTCCCTCAGACCTTCCACCTCCACTCTGGAATGGTGCTTTCTTTCTCTAAAATCACTGGGACCAACAAGCGTGATGGGTTTGGAGGCCCCTCCTCCCCTGAGAAAGGGTAGGTGTTTCGGTCCCGTACCCTCGAATCCTTGTGGCCTGTGAAATGCCGGCTCCTCTAGGCTGCAGCCCCTCTATAAAACCAGATCCAGAATTCCCAACCCCTTCCTGTAAGTTTTACACACCAACTATCCCACACTGATTATCCAAAACTCTTACATACCTGGGAAATCCCTGTGGGGCTTCCCACAGGAATGGGGTGAGGTTCCCTGAAAGTTAGCAGTAGCAGAATGACCTCCACTGCTGTGGGGATGGCAGAGCTACTCCAAGAGGATGCAATGGAAGTCAGTGAAGATCCAACACACACACACACACACACACACACACACACACGCACACACACGTTTGTAGTGAGAAAATTTTTTAAAAGCCTCTAAGGTCAAAGGTTATGCACTAGTGGCAGTTGAGCTTCAGGAATGTTATGATACCAGCTGAGTAGGGGGAAAGAGACAAGGCCAAGACTGAGGAATCTCAAGACCACAGGTCAGTTTGGTATCAACATCATCATCAAGGTAGCTACTATTTATTAAGCACTGTGCGTACATTAATTCTAGTCCTTACAATAACCTTGAAAAGCAGGTATTTACTGTAGCAGCCATTTGAGGTTCTGAGAGCTGAAGCAATTGCCCAAGATCACACAGAGAATAAGTAACACAGCCAGAATCCACACCCTGATCCATCTGGTTCCAAGCCTGTCTTCATACTTCTATGAGGGCCATGCTATAATAAAAGAGCCCTAGAACATTCACATAACTTTTCTAGGTCTGTTCCCTGCAGAGTGTCCTCAATGACCTCTCAGGGTCCTTCCAATTCCAGCATTCTATGCACCTATGGGACTCCCCAGAGGGGCAGGGAATGCAGGAAATTGAATCATCCTCCTTCTGGGAGTGGGTGGGGTGGTGCAGTGGCTCTCACCTCCCCCATTTTTGTAGCAGAGATAGGGAAACCTCCAGACGTTGCCTAAGCCAACGATCTCCCCAGCCACTGACAGCACAAACTCCATCTTGTTGTTCCAGTGCCCTCGCTCCAGGGTGCCATCTTCCTCCGCTTTTTCCATGACTGGATACACAGGTTTTGTCTCTCCATTACTGGTTGTGCCTGAGACCTTGCTATCCATCCCACCTGGAAAACAAGTGGGTGCTCTGTTACTGTTGGGAACCCCAAAAGGAAAGCCTCCTCTCTGCACCAGAAAATGTCCAAGAGCATAAATTGGAAGTAGACCCATGTCCTCCTTAGCATCTCTCATTGGTAGAACTAGGTAACTGCTACTGAGATATTATATTCCTTTCCCATTTTATCAAACAAGCACTGATACTGAAGGAGAGCTTCTTCTTCCCCCACACAGGCTCTCTCAGGTTTAGACTTTGGAGCACAGAAGGAATCACAGCCTCTGGATATTTCAGTTCTCCCCACCACCTAGCCTTGGCTTCAGCTGGATCAGATTGTGCTTCAGTTTTTTTACTCTATATTCTGGGAACCATTGAAAAGATGAGATTTTACATACCCTCAAAGCCACTGATTTGTGACTGTGGGAAAAAGATTTGGTATTATGTTTATTTTCTGTAACAGCAAAAAAAATTATAAAGTATGTAAATGTTCAAAAATGGGCAGATGGGTTAATAAATCGATAGATATATACAACAAACTATAGTTATTAAAGACTTTGCTGCAAAAAAAGAATATTGAACCAAAGTGGTATTTATACTATATGAAGTAAAAACAACAGTATATATAATATAATTATTTTTGACAAATATTTTATAAAGTATTTACATGAATTGAAAGATTAGGATATACACAAAAATGTTTGTCTCTTAGGGGCTGGATTATAGTAATATTTTGCTTATATTTTATACTTTCATCAAATAATATGTTTTATTGAGTGAGACCAGTGACTGTGAATAAGATAAGCTGAGCTATCTAGGTGCCGATTCCTCCGTTTCTCTCTGAAAGATAAACTAAGGACTTATTTTTGTTTTGTTTTCATGATGACAAATGTAGGAATCTGTTACAGTAGAGAAGACAGCAAAAATGAATAAAGAGTCATAGTTCTAAATTTACACTGCCCAAAATGCTCTAGATTGCTATTGGGATCAAGGATAAGATTGGATATGACTCACTTTATTGAGCAATTACTATGGATTAGGCACTTTACCTATTTCTCGGGGTAGCATGCTATAATTGAAAGGTCATAGAGCCTGGGGAGCCTGGTTTCAACCTTTAGTTTTTAGTCTCATACCACTGCCTGGCTTCAGAAAAGTTAATTAATAACTCAGCCTTAGTCTACTCATCTGTGAAAGTGGGAATGATGTGACATGCATAGTTGTAAGGATTAAATAAGGATGCTTTTCACTGAATAGTAATTTCATTCAACAACCTGAGATGTAAGTATTATTACTGCCACTTTATAAATAAGGAAGTTGCTCAGAGAAGTTAAATGTGCCAAGCACAGTGGCACACACCTGTAATCCCAGCAACTTGGTAGGCTGAGGAAGGAGAATGGCCAGTTCAAAGCCAGTCTCAGCAACTTAGCAAGGCCCTGAACAACTTAGGAAGATCTCAAAATAAAAAATAAAAAGGGATGGGGATGTGGCTCAATGGGTTAAGCACCCCCTGGGTTCAATCCCTAGTAGAGAGAGAGAGAGAGAGGAAGGGAGGGAGAATAATGTGACTGTTGCCACATAGCTAGCCAATTGCACAGCTAAGACTTGAACCCACTCTGTCCCTCCCGCTTTTCCAATTACATATCTTGAATTACACTGGCTGCCTAGGTTCATCAGCATGTCTGATGTGTCTTCTAATTACTTCCTGACCCTGATTTGATACATTGGTTCCTTCAGTAGAGAAGTGGACAGGTGGACTTTTTCATAAGCCTCAAAAAAGAGTTCATGTTAACAGAACTTTCTCAGCAGGAGCTCCTTCAGGCCACAGCTCTGCTCAGCCTTTTCCTCCCCAGTTGAGCTACCCAAGGGATCCAAAATGTCAGTGAGGAAGTCAGGGAACACAACATACATTTGCTCATTTGATAAATTAGGAATGGGCTTCAAGATTATTTGTGGGCTAAGAAGGAGAAATTCCAGCAACTGTCCCTAAGAGAGTTCCTCAGTCCTTTTGAAACAGTTGGCAAAAGCCTTGTGCTGATTCTGGGCCTCCCTGACAGATGTCTTCCAGTGGTAGAAAGCCATCTCCCTTTACTTCTTCACCTTCCCAGGCCCTAGGAGAAACAGTAGTCCCTTCCCCTGGCCTCAGTATAGTTTTCCTCAGTGGTAGCATGCTACAGTTGAAAGGACATGAGCATAGAATCAGAGGAGCCTGGTTTCAACTCTTAGTTTTTTCTCACACCACTGCCTGGCTTCAGAGAAGTTAATGAATAACTCAGCCTTAGTCTGCTCATCTGCAGAAGTGGGAATGATGTGACCTATGTAGGTATAAGGATTAAATAAGGAGATACTTCTTCATGCAGTAAAATATCAGGCTCTCTTTTAAAAAAAAATTTAGTTTCTCTCAATTCTGTTGAAGAGTTGATCATTTTCTCATTTCACAAAGAATTAAACCTTCATTTTCTGGGAATTGAACCCATATGTATTTCCTCTCATTCTAGTATTCTTTTTCTCCAACTCAAATTATCCCTTTTAAGTTATCAGCCATGCAGGTTTCAGAAAATCAAGAAAATAGCATTCGGTCTTTGCATATGCACACCTAAGTGTCAGAAACATTTTCTAGAAGATCAAAAAGCCCTTTGGTCATAGTTTCTATGGATCCCACCAACCTGCAGTCTGAGACCCAGAAACAGAAAAAAAAAAAAAGAAGAAAATAATCCGAACCTTAGTGAAGTTTCTGCCAGAAGTCCAGTCAGGGGAGAAGAATTATCTAGGGGGAAGGGGAAGGTGCTGGCTATTTAAAGTGTGGCTGGAGAATGCCTCTGTGGCACTTGTAATCCTAAACTTGGCCCAGCCCACATTCCGCCCTCCTGCCTCCCGCCCTCCTGTTCTCCTCTCCCCTAGGCCACCAGACAATCCACACATGAGTGATTTCACAGCCTGGGGACTGTGTGCACACCCTGGCAGGTCAAGCCAGTTGCTTGTGAGCTCATCACACATCATGTCTCTTCCCTGTAGCTCACATGCCCTCCCCTTTTAGTGACTTTGGAATCTCTCTAGAGGGATCTGGCCTTCCACGCCCCTCCCCAACTCAAGAATAGGTGCTTTTATTTTGCCAGGTACAGCACAGATTGATTTAAAAGTACGTTTATCTTACCATTTTGCATCTAACAATCTGGAATGGTGAATAATTTAGAAAAAAGATACACCAACTACAGAACTCTGAAAAGTCACAAAAACTTCCCAAACACGCACACACACACACACACACACACACACACACACACACACATACACACACACATTTAAATACATATAGAAAAAGTTGGAAAAAATCACTCAATGGTTAATAGTAGTTATATTCAGAGTAAGATTGGGATCAAGAGATGACAATAATGCTAGTATATTGTGTGAATTTTTACAATTTTCGTGTACTAGAATTTTTTTTTCTTTTTGACACTTGGAATTGAACCCAGGGGTGCTCAACCACTGAGCCACATCCCCAGACCTTTTTATTTTACTTAAAGACAGGGTCTTTTCATCAACTAAGTTGATGAAGCTGGCTTTGAACTCAGATCCTCCTGCCTCAGCTTCCTACCTGGCAATATATATATACTAGAATTCTTTTTGTTTGTTTTTTTCCTGTGGTGCTGGGGATCAAACCCAGGGCTTTGTGCATGCATGCTAGGCAAGCACTCTGCCTCTGGGCTACAGCCCCAGCCCCTATATGATAGAATTTTTAAAAAAATGTTTTTGAAAAATAGGGCTAGAGCTGGGGCTCAGTGGCAGAGTACTTGCCTGTCATGTGTGAGGCACTGGCTTCGATCCTCAGCAGAACCAAATAAATAAATAAACAAACAAACAAATAAATAAAATGTATTCTGTCCATCTACACCAAGAAAAGTTTTTTAATATTTAAAAAAACAAACACAGAAAAGGAAGTGCCAAGATTTAAAACCAAAGCAAAATCCTGTCCCAAAAGGAGTTGGTGGCAAGCATAAGGTAGACAGAGCTAACCACAGGAACTTCAATTTTAGGCAGGAATGGCCCAAAGAAGCCACCATAGAGAGTAAGCATCATTTTCTAGGCATGGGGCTGAACTTTGGATGGGAAACTGCTTAGGCTTCCACATCAGCCAAGTACAGGGCCTGAGAGCTGATTCTATCACTTTGTAAGTCAGGGTCTTAAGCAAGGTACCCAACTTCCTTTTTGTTTTGTTTTGTTTTTATTATGGGGTATCCAACTTCTCTGTCTTTTTTTTTCTCATCTATAAAATGGGGAGTATATTCCTTATCTTGAAAAATTGTGTGACATTTCAGGAAATAATGAGTATTAGCAAGTTGCTAAGCAGTAGCCATTATTGATGCTTGAGGAATTATTGAGCAGAAAATGCTTCTTGAAGCCAATGGAATAGCGAGACCTCTGAGCAAAACTGGGATCTGGTCAGACTGTTAGGATGAGGGATCGCAGTGGATGACTGCATGAGGTCATAGAAATATGACTGCCATGACAGACAGCAGTGAAAAGGAAGCAAAAGCAGAGCTCTAAGGGTCTTTCTAGATTGCTGAGGCTGGCTTTGAACTTGCAATCCTCCTGCCTCAGCCCCCCAAACTGCTGGGATTACAAACGAGTGCCACCACACCCAGCTGGTTCTTGATTTCTGACCCATCTATAAGGTATGGGATGGGCAGGGAAGCAGGCCAGGATAATTCCTTCATTGGAGCTTCAATGCAGCTTAACATGATCTTATGTTTTAGCTGTCCCTTTTCTCTTCCCTTCCCTTTCCACCTATCTCTCTGATTAATTGTATAAAGCAAAAGACCAAAAGAGCTCTTTAAGAAGGGCTGTAAACTCAAGATGAAAAAGCTTACCTTTATACCAATGCTGTTGACTTCTGTTTTTACTTATCATCGAGTGGTAGTTACTAATGGCCTACTAATTGAACTCTTCAGCATTATAAACTTGGAGTTCACTTAGGACTCAAATTCACTACTTTAAGACGCCAGAATACCATATAGCCTTGGGCAATGTTACTCAACCCTCGGTGTTGGCAGTGTGCAAGTGATTGGAACTTTCAGGAAAGACTCCCAGTAATCAAGTCATCATCAGAGTTATCTAGAGTTGGTCTTGAGTCCTATCTTTTGGTGTTTATGTAACTTCTGCTTTATTACTATTTTGATTGTTATTTTGTTTCTTTCCAAATTTTTGTTACCCATGATTTCTTCTTTTGCTCTATGGAGTGAAATGAATATGATAGATATTTTTCCCTGCTTAGGTTAACCAAAATGAAAGAATAAAGAAGAAATAGTTTGAGAACCATTGGTAGATAGGTGTTGGTGACAGACCCTCACCACTGCCTGGCTGGGGTTCAGCACATATCAGTCAGGATAAGCCTTGCATTTATCTCATGTTTCTATCATCCTCTGGTCTCCTGGGTATAAGGTCAAGAAACCTGGAAATAGATAATACCAGAATCAGTCTTCAAGAGTTCTTAAGAGGCTGCATCCCAGGGGCTCAGGGACTAGAGGCAGGAGGATCCCAAGTTCAAACAGCAACAGTAACTAGGTGAGGCTCCAAGCAATTTAGCAAGACCCTGTCTCAAAATAAAAAATAGAGCTGGGATGTGACTCAGTAGTAGTGGTTAAATACTCTTGAATTTAATCCTTGGTACCAAAAGAGAGAAAGAGAGAGAGAGAGAGAGAGAGAGAGAGAGAGAGAGAGAGAGAGAGAGAGAGACTGCCATCAGAGATTGATGTTGAGGATGACTGAAGGCTGTACTTCCCTAAACATGGCTTACATGACAGATGTCATCCGTGCTTCTTGTGGGTCAGGAGCAACAACAACCAGGCATGAACTGGAAAGAAGTTTTGACTCCCGTTTAACCTCACAACCCTGTACCAAGATGACCCTTTCTGCAATGCAATCTATAATCTATTTGAAACAAAGTGAGCCATGGAAAAAGCAGGCCTGGGAGATCTTGGTTTGTATTAAATTGATCCTGGGCATATTTAAATGCCAGTATGCCCTGATACACTCTTAAAAAATATTTTGTGTCCACAAAGAATAGAACAAGAACAAATAAATTTTAAAAGAAGAACAACTTGTTTCAAAAATAACATTTCTAAGCAACATCAATTTCAACTCTGGAATGGAGGATGGAATGGCAGTAAAGGAAGTGGTGGCTATATTCTTTGGAGACCTTTAAATTAAAAGGTACAATTCTTTTTAACAATAGAAGTGAGGAACCTGTTAACTTTTTAGATCCCTTTTCAAATATTACACTGAAAGAAAAGAAAGAAGCAAGCGGAATAAACTAAAAAATTATGACTTGGAAGAACTGAAACAATTTGAGCAACAAAATGAATAATTATAGTATTGAACTATAACTCAATAAAATACATGCTAACATAAATAATAAATTAAATAAATAAATGATGGAAAATAGGATAGCTCTTCCTTACAGAATTCCAATTAATAAATGTGGAATAAAAAATAAAACTAAAAAAAAACACCATTAGATAAACAGCGCTATAACAATAGTTGCAGATAAAATCCACCAATGAATATTTAAAATCAGGGAATTTTTTGAGGAGGAACAGAATGTAAGAGTTACAAAGCATCTCTCCCAAGATATTAATAACTACAAAGGGAAAGATAATAACTTTATAATAGAGAAACCTGATCAACATTCCTAGTAATAAGACAACACCAGTGATAAGACATATCAAGATCCATATCATTAACCATGTAATATGATGTACAAAGGATACAGCAACATTTATGTGGTATCCTTGCCAAAAATGCAGTTCAATCATAAGAAAACATGACAAACCCAAAGTGAGGGACATTCAGCAAATAACTAATCATTGTTTCTCATTGTCCAAGTTATGAATGGCAATGGAAAACTGAGGATCTGTTCGGACTTCAGGAGACTAAGGAAAATTAACAACTAAAGGCAACATGGAATCCTAGATAAGATGGTAGACAGGAGTGTGGAATAGAAAGGGCATCCATGTAAAAACTGGTGAAATATGAATAAGATCTTTAATGGTACTCTACCAATATTAATATCCTAGTTTTGATAGTGCAACTATGATTATATGAAATGTTAACATTAGGGAAAGCTGGATAAAGCATATATGGAAACTATTATTTTTGCAAGTTTTCTGTAAGTCCAAAATTAGTTTAGAATTCAAGGTTGAGGGTGTCGTTGTTCTTAAGATTGTTTCATTGGGTTATGTCTTACTATTATGACCATCTTAGTCATACAGATGACTTGGAGAGAATTAAATGACATGTTCAACATCACACAAGAATCAGAATTTGAGAGACAGAAACTGTTGGGGGTCCTTGAAGACAGTCCCCCTATGCCCTTCCCCCAAGTCCTTGGGACCACTTGGGTCCCCATAGCTGGGGAGATAGTTTGAGGAGGCTTTGCCTGCTCCAAGAATGTGCTGTGTGGAGCTGGGGTTGTGGATCCGAGGAAGAGCACTTGCCCAGCTTGCATGAGGCACTGGGTTCGATCCTCAGCACCACATAAAAATAAAATAAAGGTATTGTGTCCACCTACAACTAAAAAAAAAAAAGAATGTGCTGTGCACTCTCAACATGGTCTACATGACAGATGTCATCAGTGCTTCTTGTGGGTCAGGAGTAACAACAACCAGGCATGAACTGGAAAGAAGTTTTGACTCTTGTGGCTTGTTGAATTTACTTTAAACCCTGTACCAAGACGACCCTTTCTGCAATGCAATCTATAAGAAGAAGGGATCTACATGCCAGATATGCAGAGAAAAATTTCTTA